CACATCCCCCTCTCCCCGGCACCCCCCTCTCCCTCCCCCTGGCTCGGTCCCGGGATCCGTTACTGTGAAGCGCTCTGGGATGCCGTCCGGCGTGAAGGGCGCTATATAAATCCAAGTTGTTGTTGTATTAATTTGATTCGATGAATCATATAACTTTGATATGCATTTCTTTACTAATCTTTTATTAAATTTTACTGCTTGAAAAGGAAATTTGTGTCAGTTCCTACTTCACCACAGGGTCACAAACTTAATTAACCCTTACAGGGGGAATCTGGGGAAAATAGTCCAAAGTGGGGAGAAAGTGAGCAATCCTGGATTGGGCCTGCAATGGGGGACTTTATCCTTCTCGCCGTCCAAAACCCCCATCCCTCCCCCCTACCAGTGCTTGCTTTCTCCTTGGGGACATCTACACACCAGGAAGAAAGTAAATATTTAATTTGGTCTTGGGCTAAAAAAAAGTTAAATGAAATAGCAAGTAGGATAGCTGGCCATGTGGCAGTAACAAGGTTTAACTGTGTGTGCGTTGCCCCTTGGGGCTGGCATGGCCTAAATTTGGGCTCCTACTTGTAGGTTTATTTATTTATTTAACATTTACACGAATAATGAGAAATCTTGATGGCTGTGTAATATTCCGCAAAGGTCGGGCAAATAGAAAAAAAAGCCATGTTTTATTAAATGATTTCCTTTCCTTCATGATTTATTTGAAAGAGAAGGAAATGCTGGAATTTTAAAAGCTTTTGGTTAGATGTTAAAATAAGCTTGATGACCTGTCCGTCAATTAAATTCCTTGTTCTAGTGATTGATCCAAAACGATTAGTCTCTCAATAATCAGCCTCGAAACGGGACAATTCTCTACTTGCACTTAAATAGCTTCATTGACAATCAATATTTTGCCTCAAGGTATAATACCACTGAAAGCAGATTGAAAACAGTAAATGAACATCACCTAGGTCCTCCTTAACTCTCCGTCTCTCCTTAACTTTCTCACCTTCATGAGATGTCACGTGAAGTCCTGTAGCGTATTGGTCAGACAACAGCCTCGCAAGCAAGAGGAACCTGGTTTGATTCCCCGGGCAGGGCGAAACCTTAGGCAACTTTCCTTACTCACTTTCCGGGGGTAATAATAATTTGGTCACTCAATCCACAAATGTTTGTATACCTCTTTATAAAGTCCCTTCTGTCTCCTTTCAAGACTGAAAAGCCCGAGTTTGTCCAGTCGTTGTTCTTCCAACATTGGGATGACCCTCTCCTCTCTATTCCATATTGCCGGCCCATCCTCTTACATCACAATAACCAGACCTGTAATGAGGTACTCGAGGTTCAATCTGACTGGAGCACTAAGCATCCTGAGTATGACTTCTGGTGGTATGAACTCAACTGATTTGGCAATATATTTGCTCGCTGCCTATCTTTCAAGCTAAACCAAATTGAACTGAAGACAAAAGCCTCAACGTGTTTAAGAGCTAACTTGATGCATATACACAAGGCGATAGAGAGGGTGGAGGTCAGTGTGGAGTATAAACACAGGCCTGGAGTAGCTGGGCTGAATAATCTGTCCCTACGCCATCTGTGTTAACTATATGTAACTGGTGGAGTTGTAGCTTTCAGCTCTTCACCTCTTAAAAGGAACTGGCATTCCTCCATCGAAGAAGCCCTTACCTGTGCGCTCCAACAAAGACTCGGTCACAGACTTCAGACCCATTAATGAGCGGAGGAAACCACACTGCAAAGAGGTCATTTCAGTCGTTAAGTTTGAGGTCTACCACATGATCACCAGCTTTCCAAGAAAGCAAAGCCACACGCTTGCTCATTGAGGCTCTATCTTCCTTCCAGGTCCACAACAAGGAACTCTTTGCTTGAGTGCAGGCAATGTGAATACTTTGTGTGTGTGCAAGGGGAGAAGTGTGGGGGACAGAGGTGGGGAGAGGTGTGTGTTTTGGGGTTTGTAATAGGGAGGTCAGGATTTATCGCTGATTGAAAAATTGGCCGATTGTATACCTGAATATATTGCCAAATCGGTTGAGGTGAGATCAGGAGTCATACTCAAGCTGTACAGTGCTCTTGCCAGGTTGCACCCAATGTACTGCATACAGTTCTGAACACTGTGACATCAGGCGACTGCCCTAGCATTACAGAGAATCATCCCCACTGCCTCCGTACCTGCCATGTTTGTTTACAAACACAGACAGTCACTACACTTGGCAGCAATTCTCTGGAAAGCGCTTTGAGACTTTGTGACGCCAAACTAAATGGTTGAATCCTTTCCTTTAAAGTTACTGATTATTAAATGAGGGAGTCTTGTCTTCGTATATTTCCACCTCATTCAATCACCCAGCCCCCCGATCGGTTATTTAGCAGCTGATAATGAGTTTTTTTAATGCTTTTGTCTATTTTTAGAAGGTGCGAGAAGACATTCTAGTTGATCGCTGAATAGGCCACTGTGTTCAATGGGTTTTATTTCCACTCATGACTCTTGACGAGAACTGGTCTTGTGTAAATAGGAGTCGCTCAGTACAGGGCACCCATTCATTGCTGTCTGTTTGCATCGGAGTCTGGTTCAGTCCATTGAGGTGTGTTACAAGGCTGAAGGCTCGCCTGTAGATGCAGCTCCGACTTTGGTCACTGATAATAAATATTAATTGAGGAGCTTCTGCTGGTGAGCACCAGCGCTGGTAACAAGAGCCCTAACCTCTCAAAGCGCTTCACAATAATTACTGTCACACACGAGCTTTGCAATTTGGTCAGGCACAGACAGGACCTCAGTTTGATAACTCATCCGAAGGACGGCAGCTCTGACAATGCAGCGCTCCCCCCAGCACTGCGTTGGAGTGTCAGCCTGGACAATGAGCTCAATATCCTGACACAAGACTAAGTGGTAAAGTGAGACTCTTAGTGACCACTGCATCAAGTTACAGCACTGTGCGCTGACCTTATATATCTCCAGCCAGTGTCTGAACATTGTGGATTGTAATAACGTGTGCATTGATCTATTTATTATCCATCCTTCATGGAAATAAATATACACAAGCAATGATCTCTCTGAAGTGCTCACTGTCAGTATCTTGGACTGACAGAGGAGTTAGCAGTGACATCTACTGGTTGAACTGTGAACTGTAGAGGACAGGATTTATAATAAATAATTCTTACATTTAATACACAACTTGTAATGTTGAAATGCCTCAAAGGACTTCACTGCCAAGCAATACTCCTTGCATTGCATTCAGCACCCTTCACGTGAGCAGGAATTTGCAAAGCACTTCACAGGATTTACGGTAAAGTGTGTTACGTAGGGGAACGTGGCAGTGCTCAGGTCTTAAAATTGGGATTGCCATTGGCACGCACTGCCTTCTGACCCACAGGCGAGAGAGCTACTGACTGAGCCAGGCTGACACCTGAAGGACTTCACAAGTGGATTGATCAATAACAACAACAAGAAGATTACATTTGTAGAGCGCTTTTCACATCAGGAGGACGTCCCAAGGCGCTGGACAGTCAGGGGTCAGGACCCGAGCATGGGGGAGGGGTGGGGTAGGGGTGAGAAGGCAGAGAGGTGGGAGGGCGACTGAAGACGCGATTGAAGAGGAGGTTCTTGAGACCGGCCTTGAAGGAGGCAAGGGAGGAAGTGAGGCGAAGGGACTGTGGGATGGAGTTCCAGAGTGTGGGAACAGAGAGGCTGAAAGCCCGACCACCGATGGTAGGGCAGGTTGGGCGGGGGACATGGAGCAGGTGGAGCCCGCTGAACGGAGGGAGCGGGCAGGTTGATCAGTGTAGTTAGCTTGGCTCCAAATCCTTGACTGTCCAGCGCCTCCCGGTGTGAAAGGCGCTGTACAGATATACTTTGTTGTTGTTATTGGTGCAAGCATTGGCTGGAGGGGTTGCTTGCCCTTTACTTTCTTCTATTCCACCTTTATGGAGTCCTGTAGCTCAGTGGTTAGAGCACTCGCTTTGCAAGCGAGAGACCTGAGTTCAATTCCAGGCAGAGGGCGAAACCTTGGGCAAGTTTCCTTACTCCACACAGAGCCTAATAATAATCCCTCGAAAACCAAAACAATAATAAATTGGTCATTTTCAATCTACGACTGTTTGTGGGACATTGTGTGCGCAATTGGCTGCCGCGTTCGCCCACAAATATACAGTCAATTCACTTTACAGTGTGTTCTGTGAAGCGCTTTGGGACGTCCTCCCGACGTGAAAAGCGCTATATCAAATGCAAGGATTATTATTATTATTATTATTATTTGGAAGAGTTTGGAGGAGTTTTTCCCATCCCCCCCCCACCACGGTGCGCCCACCCACCCAACGCACCATCCCAAATTGCTGCGAAATCCGTAAAACTATAAGGTAATGATAATAATGGCGTTTTCCATCCACTTTCTCCCCCCCCCCCACCACCCACCAGATTGATGAATAACACCCAGGTCACGTGCAGAGGGAGCCCCGCCCTCCTTTCCCAGCCCAGCCTCTCAGTAAGTCAGCACCCTGATCACGTGCCGGGGGAGGGGCGGGAGGGAAGGCGGGGACTTTCCATGAGCGCATGTCCCCCCCATCTTGTTGGCTGGATGTGTGGCGCGCGTGCGCATAAGTGGCGCGCGGGCGGGGGGGGGGCCGGCCCCCCCCTCCCTTTGGCTCGCGCGCTCCTGTCGTGGCGCGTGCGCAGTGCGGCCGCGCTCCCTCCCCGCCCCGCCTCTCGCTGTGTGAATGTAAACAAGAGGCCGGTTCCCCCGCGGGCCTGACGGTACCCGACGCCTCGGGGTTACGTCAGCTCAGTTACAGCGCGTGTGCGTGTGTGTGTGTGCGCGCGGGGGGTGAGGGGGAGAGAGTGAGGGTTAAAAACAATTGACGTAATTACTTCACAATCACAGCTTTATCTCCCCTCCCCCGGGGCTGGAAGGAAAGGAAGGCGCGCGCGCCCGCCCGCTAGGCCCAACTCAGGCCTCGGCCTCTCCTACCCCCACCCCCTCCCCTTATCCTTATCCTAACCCCTCCTCCTCTTCCTCCCCCTCTTCCTCCCTCCCCGTACGTGTTGATGAGGTGAGACCCCGCGGCCTGAGTCTCTCAGGATCCGGCTTCCACAGCCAGCGGCCATAAAGAGGGGGCGAGAGGTAAGGGATACCTTCGGATGTCTGTCTCTGTCTGTCTGTCTGTCTGTCTATGTGTCTGTCTGTCTCTGTGTGTCCGTGTGTGTGTGTGTGTGTGTTTGTGAGGGCGGGGGGTGCGCGGGAAAATTTAAAATGACCAGGATTGAAGAGTTTTGATAATAATAGATAAATATCAGAGAGAGAGAAAACAGGTAATGACAGGTGGTCTGTGCGTAAATTGGCCGCCGTGTTTCGCCCACAGAATACACAAAAGTCGATTCACTTTCCAGTGTATTCTGTCCAGCTCTCGGTTACGTCTCAAGGTGCTGTATCAAATGCAAGGATTGTTATCACTATGACTATTATTGGGGCTGAGCAGATCGTGCTTTCAGAGAGCTGGCGCAGGCACGATGGGACAAATGGCCTACTTCTGTACTGTAACCCACTCTGATTCTATTGCGCTCCATGCAGCCTTCGGGCTAAAGGACAGACAGTGTCGGTTCAGTCTGAGGGGGAGGCAGGTTAATGTGGAAACAGCAAGTCACCGTTGCTTCTGAGGTGGATGTTTGTCTGTCCTCCTGATGTGAACGGTGCTATATACAGTAAATACAATTTGCTGCCGTTGTCAGAATTGTTGCTCAAATTGCCTTAAGGGGAAGAGGATTGCTGCCAACAGAGAGGCCTGCTGTACCCCTTGATGTAATCTATGGGGAGAGTGATTTTCAAGTTATTCTTTGATGTAGTGACACTTTTAAAATGAAATGTTTCCTTATTAATCATAAAATGAAACATTTCCTTATTAAACACCATTCACCATTCTGGTTTACAGTCTGTTTCTGTAGTTTCTCTTTCCCTCCTTTCCTGAAAGTGCTGATTAATGCCTGAGCTGCTTGTTTCACGAGTGGCAGCTTCCACTCCTTGTAACTTGCCCAGAATGGCCTGTTTCTGTGCCGTATCATTCTTGCATTTGATATAGTTCCTTATACGTTAAAATGTCTTAAAATAATAATTAACATAAATCCCTACATTTGATGTAAATTTCATGTCAGGATGATGACTCGGGATTTTACTGTAAAATGTATTGACTGCCTTCTGAGTGGATGCTGCAGCCAGTTTGTGAACCCAAGTCATTATGAAGTGAATGACCATTTGAGGATTTTGGCCCTTGTCTTTCTAAATAGCATGATGGAAATTTTAATATATATCTAAACAGGCAGACAGGCTAAACACCTCACCCAAAAGGCTCTTCTCTGACAATTCACCACTTACCCCAGTACTACACTGGAGTATCTACCTAGGCCAAGTGTCTTCAACCAGCTGATTGCAGCTAGGTGTCCTCTTGCACATGCTTAGCAAAGACAAGAGGAAGGAGTGATATTTACCACAGTTTAAACGTCTATATTTTTATTTCAATATGCATGAAATACTTTGTCCAGCTCGGGTCCAAATTGCCTGACTGTCCAGCGCCTTGGGACGCCCTCCCGAAGTGAAAGGTGCCATGTAAATGTAATTTTTCTATTTTGTATCTCGTTTTCAATTGGACTCAATAACTACGTAGTTCCATCCCTCCTTACTCTTGTCTATTTGATCAAGCCCAAGACACTACCTAGCATCGATCGACCGGTTGGAGACCTTTGACCTAGACCGAGCTCAAAAGTTCTAACATGGGGCTTGAATCCACAACTGGAGGCTAGAGATCTTTTATTTGAGCTATTATGCATTGATCAATCCTTCAAGTCATCAGGCATATAATCCATGTTTACTCAATATTAGTTGGGTCTGTGGATCTCTGCGCTGCTGTGAAAATTGGGTATATCATTTTCATATTTAAATGGATTTAGATTCAGAATTTTCTATTCTATTTTATATTAAAATGTCAATTTTAAAAATGTCCAATTGCTGAAAACTGACTTGTATGCAAAGGGGAAAAACAGCAGCTTCTTGATTTCCAATGTTTGACCAGGCTAGTCAAACATGGTCAAAATAAAAATATCTGTTCAGATAAAAATCACAGTGACGCTTAGAAACTGAATGCGGGGAAAGTCCACTTATTTATATGACTGCTTCGTGTCAAGTGTTTATAAAGGGTGGGGAATAAAAGAGGGATGGTATATTGAAGGATTAGACAACTGGAATCCAGTTTTTACACACAATTCTTTGGTCAAGAAATTGTAAGTTTATTTTATTCATATCTTCAGGAATGAAAATTTGTGTTTGATTTTCTGTTGAGCTCTAATGCGAACGATTCTGACTATGATGGAGGCATGTTGCACATTTCATTTTGCTGGTGGTTCCTCCACCTTTACATTGCAGAATCTTAAGATCCTTCGTATTAAGATACAACACTGTTTTACAGTCAACTGTTCAGTACATTTTACCCCAAATTTAAGCATAAAGTATCTCTTGTCAGTATCAGTTCCTAGCTGCACGGGCATCTTAATGATGATCACTGAGCCAGTTCGGAACCTAGGCGTCTTGTTTAACCCTCAACTGTCCTTTCTCCCCCGCGTCCATGTCATGATCCGCTCTGCCTTCCCCCATCTCTGCAACATTACCCTGCTCCGCCATTGCCTCACTCCTCAGGCTGCCGAAACCCTCATCAACGCATTCAATATGTCTAGGCTCGTCTATGCCAACTCATTGCTTGTTGGCTTTACCAACTCTTCCCTCCATGAGCTGCAGATCATCCAGAACTCTGCCGCTCATGACCTCTCCCACACCAGGCTCCATTACCCAATCACCCTCGCCCGGCTCCACTGGCTCCCCATCCCTCTGAAGATAGAGTTCAAAATCCTTGTCCTCACCTTCAAGGCTCTCCATGGCCTTACCCCTTCCTACCTCTGTGACCTGCTTATCCCTTAGCAACCTGTCCATTCCCTCTGCTCAGCTGGCTCTGGCCCAACTGTCTTGCCCCACCACCAGGGGTCGGGCCTTCAGACCTCTCTACCCCCACCATTTGGAACTCCAAGCTCCATCCCACATTCACTTTGTCTCGCTCCCTCCCTTGCCTCCTTCAAGACACTTCTCAGCCAACCTCCACCCCGCCACTGCCCTTCACCGTCACTGATCCCAAACTCCACCCCCGGCTCGGGTCAAATGCCTGACTGTCCACCGCCTTGGGCCGTCCTCCCGACATGAAAGGTGCTATAAAAAATACAAATGTAATTTTATATGTATTTTACTGCGTTTATATACAGTGGATTGCCACATGGACAACCATTAGTGGGTTAAGCTTACCCAATTCCAGGAGTTGTGTAAATGTGTATTGATTCGATGATGTGATGGCTCACGTGAGTTTCAGACTAGAGGTTCTGGAAGAATACAACAGGTGCTTAGAGCAGTGTAGTTATCGTGAGGGAGTGGCCTTCCAGCCCGGGACTGTTGTTTTTGTGAAATCCTGTAGTTCAGTGGTAGAGCACTTGCCTCACAAGCGAGAGACCTGGGTTTGATTCCTGGCAGGGTGAAATGTTGGGCAAATTCCCATACTCCACACTTCTCTGTTTGCCTAGCAGTAAGTAGAAACCTGGTTGTTAGTCGATTGGCAGATCGCTTTTCCGGAGTAATAATTCCTTCAAAAAATAACAAATTGGTCACTTCAATCCACGACTATTTGTGGGACACTGCTGTGTGCAATTGGCTGCCCATTTCACCGTCAATTCACTTTACAGTATATTCTGTGAAGCGCTTTGAGGTGTCTCAAAGATGTGATAAAGTGCTATATCAAATGTAAGGATTATTATTATTTAAACATGTTCTGTAGCCAGTAATTGGCTCTTGTGTTTTTTTACGTGGCTATACTCAGGAAAGTGCTGCTTGACAACTGTGTGTTGGGTTTGAATGTGGGGTAAATGTCTCATTGTGTCATTTCCGTGTTGGAATGGTTGTAGTTTTGCATTGTGTTTGTCAAACTGAAATTGGAAACCCGATTAAGGAAGAGTGCAAGTGTGAAGAGCATTCATGAGGAGTTTACATTTTATTTTTTTCCAGTGAGAAGTAGTCAGGTTTGCTACTGATTGGCACCGCTGCCTCAACAACAACAAAATTACATTTATAGAGCGCTTTTCACATCGGGAGGACGTCCCAAGGCACTGGACAGTCAGGGGTTAGGACCCGAGCATGGAGGAGGGGTGAGTTAGGGGTAAGGGAAGGCAGAGAGGTGGGAGGGCGACCGAAGGCACGATCGAAGAGGAGGGTCTTGAGACCGGCTTTGAAGGAGGCAAGGAAGGAAGCGAGGCAAAGGGACCGTGGGATGGAGTTTCAGAGTGTGGGGGCAGAGAGGCAGAAAGCCCAGCCACCGATGGTCGGGAGGGAGACATGGAGCAGGCAGGAACCCGCTGAATGGAGGGAGCGGGCAGGTTGGTTGGGTGTCAGCAGGTCGGAGAGGTAGGAGGGGGCGAGACCATGGATGGCTTTGAAAGTGAGGACGAGGATCTTGAACTCGATCCTCTGAGGGTTGGGGAGTCAGTGGAGTCGGGCGAGGGTGGGAGTGATGGGGTCATGGAGCCTGGTGCGCAAGAGTACACAAGCTGCAGAGTTTTGGATGATCTGCAGCTTGTGAAGGGAAGAGTTGGCAAGGCCGATGAGGAAGGTCTCCATAGAAGGTCCCAAACATTGACAACAACTTGCGTTTATGCAGTGCCTCTCAGGTAGAGTAGCGTGCCAGAGTGCTTGACAGTGGCGGAGCACGATGCCAAGCCAGAGGGAGGGGTGTGGTGACTGTAAGCACCATTGAAGAGGAATGTCTTTGGACGCGACCTGAAGATAAGGAAGGGGGCAAGGCGGAGGGATAGAGGGAGAGTGTTCTGGAGATTCGGGCCATAGTAACTGAGAGCACGGCTGCACGGCACGGTGGAATGAAGGGCACGAGGGACAAACAAGAAGGAGGAGCCAATCAAGCAGAAGTGAGGGGTAGTGGATTAGAGAGTAAGTAGATCAGAGAAGTAGAGCAGTGCCACGGCATAAAGAGATTTGAAGACGAGTGTGAGGATCTTGAAATCCAAAATCACGTTGATTTGATTCTCTGGTCCTCTCAGCTCTACACCCTGAATCTGCCAGCAACCCAGGTTAACCTTGGGCGGGCTCTTACCATGTGTTTCCATAAATGTCCATAGCTCTCCGTTATGATTATTTTGATCTGGTTAAGTTGACATTGAACACCCTGCATTTCTATGAACTTACAAAAAAGTATCTTCTCAAAGCATGAGAGGTGTACATTAATGGACATCAACAACAATAAATTAGATTTGTATTGTGCCTTTCACATCAGGAGGACGTCCCAAGGTACTGGAGAGTCAGGGATCAGCACCTGACCAATGGTGAGGTGGGGGATGTGAAGCAGGCTGGAGCCCACTGAGCGGAGAGAGCAGACAGTTTGCTAGGGGGTTAGGAGGTCACAGAGGAGCTAGGCCATGGAGGGCTTTGAAGGTGAAGACTAAGATCTTGAACTGTATCCTGTGTGATGGGAAGCTAGTGGAGTCAGGCGAGGATGGTGGTGATAGGGTCACGGAGCCTGGTGCGGGAGAGGGCACGGGCTGCAGAGTTCTGGATGATCCACAATCTGTGGAGGGAGGACTTGGGGAGGCCGACAAGCAGGGAATTTGCATAGTCAAGCCTGGATGTGATGATCACTTGGATAAGGGTCTCATCAGCCTGCGGTGAGGAGGGCCGCGGTCTTGTTGACATTCAACAGGAGAAAGTTAGCTTTCATACAAGACTTGATGTATACGTCTAACTGGCATTCTGTGAGGACAGCATCAAACAGAGAGCTATAACATTTAATGGTGACCAAAGGCACGGTCATTGTTCAGCACATTTTACGAGGTGTGCTGCAAAAAGCCTGCCCAAAGTCCTATTATCAGCAGAAATTAAATCCATTTAATCCTCAAATTTTACAGAGCAGAAAGAGACTCTTCAGCTCATCGTGCCTGTGCTGGCTCTGAAAGAGCTTCCCCCAACCTCCACATATATTTTTCTCTTTCATATATTTATCAAATACTCTTTTAAAAAGCTATTGTGGCTTGTGCCTCAGTCAGTCAGGTGTTCTTTGTCCCAATGACACTCTGTGTAAGATAAATGTCTATTCTCTCTGAAATTCTTGTTTCTAGGACATCTGCTAGTTGATATTTGGGAATTAATATCAGGTGCCCATGTGCATGAACCTCATCTTGTCCTGCTGTGTAATGGGCTCAGGGTCTTGAGTGGATTAAGTGGATTGTAACGCCTACCTCATGGGTATTCAGAATGTAGTTATTATCTCCTGTTTAATTAAACTACATTTCTCTGCTTGGCTTCTCCATGTGCCTCTAATCTGTTCCTGTTTAGGTTGAGTGCAAAGGATCAATGGGTTTTAATAATCTGCTACATGTCTGAGACCGTAATTGCTATGGCGATCCTCTTATTTTCAAATTAATTCACAAATGACTGTTCCATTACACCATCACTAATCTGTGTTGTTTATAATTTATTATTGTATTCAAGGCACGTCTCAAGTCCCAACTCTTCGGCCATCTTCGTACACCTACCCTTCCTGCCCTCTACCTCGCCTTGTCCCAATCCCCTTCTTCGGTCCAAATCCCTGATTGTCCAGTGGCTTGGTATGTCCTCCCGACATGAAAGGTGCTAAACCAATGTATATTGTTATTGCGAAGTGAGGCATGATCTTTGGCTTTTTCAAGGTTCCATTTAACTTTTGTCCTGATCAGAAGGGACCAGAAAAAACCCTTATACCTGTCGCATGTTGCAATGTGCTAGTCTAGTTTATCTTATCAATTCTTGGACATAAGATTCAGTATAAGAAGACAAATTGGCATACTTCATATGAAGTTTCAAAATGTCATACTTTTACGTGAAATAATCCTTGCATTTGCAATGCTCAACTCTAACCATCTGGTGGTGTTGTGGAGAAGTTTAACTGCAATTTAATGACTAGATTGAGACATAGCACCACCAAGTGACTGGAAACAATCACAACAGCGTATAAAGCGGCAAGAAATCAGGGGACTCGTTGAATAATTAGTATTTATCCAGTGGGTCTATGGTGTATTTTTCTTTATATTATAAATAGTCGCCCACTAAATGTACAGTCAATTCATTTTACAGTATATTCTGTGAAGTCCTTTGAAACATCTTGAAGAAGTGATAAGATGCCACATCAAATGCAAAGATTATTATAATAATAATCCTTGCATTTCATATAGCGCTTTTCACATCTTCTCGATGACTCAAAATGCTTCACAGAATAGACTGTAAAGTGAATTGACCGTATATTTGTGGTCGAAACACCGCAGCCAATTGTGCACCGCAGTGTCTCACAAACAGTCGTGGATTGAAAATAACCAATTTATTATTGTTTTGTTTTGGAGGGATTTTTATTAGGCTCTGTGTGGAGTAAGGAAACTTGCCCAAGGTTTTGTCCTGCCTGAAATTGAATCCGGGTGTCTCGTTTATCATGTTATTATAAATAGAAATTATACACGTTTTGACTCCTAATTCCACAAATAGAATTCCTCTGGAGCACGAACAGCCAAATTAACTCTTCAGTGACCTGATTTGTTGTACTGTATGTGAAGTAAATGAACAATCTTAGGGTCTGTACCATGCTCTCAATCAACATCTTCAAACCTCTTTTCACATAGCTCATTGATCCACATCGCAGAGCTTTGAGACATTTTCCTAACTATTATTAAAATAATAATAATTGTGCCCATGAAAGGCACAATATAGGCACAAGTTGTTATTACTGGAAGGCATGGTATGAATGTGCAGCCGTTCTACCCTGGAATGGAAGCATCGGGTCCTTGATCTATGAGCGTGTAATTGGTAAATTCTGGCATCAAATTGAATCCCGGCTGCAGCTGCTCTGTCGGATGCCAGTGAACATTTCATTACATTTGATATCCACCCAGCAGTTTGGGAGGGCAGGAGAGCTGGGTTTTTATGTACAACGCATTGAGACCAGTTGCAAGCTGGGTGGGGTGGGGGAGTCGGTGTGATCACAGGATACAATATGGCCCAAACGTCCTTGCAATTCCTTACATTTACTATACTGTAGTGTCTTATTACAACAACAACTTGCATTTATGTAGTGGCCTTCATGCTGGGTAGCTTCCCGCTGTGATTGACAGTCTACCACCGAGCCAGGGGAAGAAAATTTACAAAAAAGTCTCAAAAATTACGTTGTTGAGATATTTCAAATCGCTTCACAGAAATTACTGTAAAGTGAATGTATTTATAAGTGAAGTGAAATTGGAAAATGCTGAGCAAGATTTGATCCCATTTGTTCAGGCTGTTTTTATTTTGCTTTTCTTTGTCTTTGCAAATCTTGTTTACCGGTATTTTGGATGCTCCACAGTTAAGTGTGTTGCAGCTGCTGTCTGTCTGGCCTTTCTTCAAACTACAGTATACCAAATTGTTTTAAGAACTAACAACTGCAGCTTTCTCTTCTCAGAGCACGATCTGCTCCGAGGGTGAATCTTCATGTAATCTGTGTCCCAGGGAAAGATGTTGAGAAAGATGGGGTGTGAGTTCACTGTGAAAAGCAGTGTAGCAATCAATTGCAGCAATCATGGGAACCCATGTGTTCCGGTGTTACTCAGTTACGGTATTTTTTTGGTCAACCGGGTGTGTGACACATGCGGAAACCCATCACAGTGCTTAAAGTGTATCCAAACCAAACTGAGAGTTATATATGGAAATTCCAGAGATATTTGTTGGGATGGAATGTGCACTCTCCCTGGAAGGATGCATCCTGTTTATCTAATTACAGAAAGCATTAGGCGCAGGCTAGCAAAAACTGGGGATTAGGGTCTCAGAGGGGTTGCAGGATATCGTCTGTCCCAACAGTCAATAATAATCCTTACATTTGATCTAGTGTCTTATTACATCATTGAGACTTCTCAAAGCGCTTCAAAAAATATCCTGTAAAGTGAATTGACTGTATTTCTTTCGGTATAATTGACCCAGGTGTTAATTGTCATTAATGCTGACTTTCTGATAGCAATCTAGTAATAGGTGTGAGCTTGCTGATTATTGTTAGCCACACGATGGCACCAAATACCTACAAGTGTGAATGGTTTATCCCTCTCATTATACAATTATTGTGAAATTACACCGAGCCACAGAAACACTTTGCAAACGTATTTACACACACACNTTTTTTTACGGTTAGGGGTGTGTGTGTCTCTCTCTTTCTGTGTCTGTGCGCTGCTGGTCCCTGAGAGACGGTGAGCAACTGTAACCCCGCAATCAGGTCACTGGTCCTGAGTGTCCATTTCTTGCTGGATCTCCAGGCCTCTGGTGCGCTGGTCTCTTTCCCCCCCCACCCCATGGCCAATCCAGTTATTGCAACAATGTTTTCCTCATGTTTAGTTTTTATTAATAAAGTGTAAAAATGTAGGTTGCCAGTAAAATGTTTTGCAATAGCACCAATCAAAACCCCTGCAATTTACTGCAAAAATTATCAAAATTCCCCCGCAGTTCCCGCACCATCGGCAAACATTCCTGCAATTTTTGGCAAACATTCCCATACTTTTCTATTGCCCAGCACTTGTCATCTGCTTTCAGATTAAGTCTGCGTTGAGTGTTTTGTAAGACAGATTTTGAAGAAGGTATTTTTAAAAAACATTAAATTATTGACTGTTTTGAGTTGAGACGGAATTCTAACGCTACTTTCGGATTCTGTGGCCCTCTCAGGTAGCGTCGCCTGAAGCTGTTGCTGCCAACATGGAGTCGGAGGGGAAAGGCGGCGAGGATGAAGAGAGCCTTCAAATGGCGTTCAAAAAGCTAAAGGTGGACTCTGAGAGGCAAGTCTGAATAGCAGTCGTAAAGAGAGCAATTGCATCTTTATAGCGCCGCTTCATGGTAAAATGCCTTGAAGCTCTGAACATGACTCTTGCAGGCAAATACCCCAGCCAGGTTTCCATCAGTGGTCATGAGGTGATGAGTCATATAATGTGGATGATTTGTCAGGCAGAATCATGGGAATAAATTCACTTCCCTTTTCAATTAGTGTCATAGAATCTTTTTAATATCCTCCCCAAACAAGCTGACTCAATGTCTCGCCTGGTACCTGGGCACCTCTAACGTACTGCACTACGGTGGGTGAGTGTCAGCATAGACGAGGCTAGTGCCAGCAATCAATCGTGATAAATATAAGCAGTGTTTCGCTAGCTGGAATTTCAGGAAAGAGTAATGGTGGATGTGACTGTGTGGAATTGCAACCTTTTGTATTGTGCTTGCACAGAGTCTCACAAGAGCTGATAGTTTATGAGGAAGCACAAAGATTTTGGGGAATGAATTTGACAAAGAACCGGTTCTGTAAACCAATTGCGTTTTCCTTTTGACTCCAAAAAGGCAGACGCACAGGGTAGCAGGCGTTCAACTTGGGTGTCATGTGCTTTTTGCCAAACAATACCTCGTCCTGTTCTCCCAAGAGGACACATTTGCATTGCTGGTAAATGCTGGTAAATTAGAGTTACGGCATCTGCACTGTCCCAAGGCTGCTTAGTGACAAGATTGGGAGATTGTGGGATTAGTGACATGACTGAGATGCAGGCACCAACACGTACTGTCAGCCCTTCCCGGGAAGTTCTGCTGCAAGAGCAACCCCATAAATGTATTTCAGTAATGAATAACCTGCAATTCAGTCCTAGGTGTGGAGAAACACTTCCCCCGATTATATCATGTTAAATTTTTCCTCAATTTTTAGCGTGCCTCAGTTAACAATCTCCTCTGATTCAGGATTTGTGGGTTCAAGCCCACATCAGATCTTGAGCGCACACTGGCTAACAATCTTCCAGGTAAAATTAGTCTTTCACTTCATGGTTATTTGTGGCATCTTGCATTTGCCTACAATTACACAGTCACTACACTTAATCACAATTACTTGTGAAGTAAATGCAAATAGCAAATGCAAGGATTATTATTAAGTAATGTAAAATTGAGATGTTCCAACATTATAGATGCTGTGTTAAACAGGGAGTATTTTTACTATTTTGGTAACGGCTTTACATGACAAAAATTACAATTATCTTGCGCCTTTCAGGATGTTCCAAAGCCTTGGGGGAAGCGGAAGAGGGGGCTGTGAGATGACCCTAGTTAGAGGTGAGGCAGGCTTTGATGGTGGGAAGGGAGAAGCGAGTCGGAGGATCTCTGGGATGCATTTCTGGGGTGGGGGACTGAAAGCTGGCCTGACCATGGTGGAGTAATGGGATGGGGAACAGCCGGCACATACCAACAGACCTTGCTAGGAAATGTACCTCTAGGGCTCTATTTTAGATTTAAATGAGCAATAATTAGATTACAATTCCTGGAATTTTTGACTCGTTGTCAACCACGTAGTTTGTGTGATTGCTTCGCCCTCAACAAAAAGAATCTGAGCAGAGTATTGTGATTGAAAACAAAATAAACTGAAAACGAAAGTGAGAGAAATAGAAAATGCTGGTATTGAAACTAATCAATCAGCACCTGATGAAGACCAGATGTTAATTTTTTGTTCTTTTGTGGTGGCCTTCCCCAAAATTGTTTTGATGTGATGGAAGTGTTATTATAAAGCTCACTAACTGCAGGTTAGAGCTTTTTTTTCGGTTTTGCATGCGCCTCTTTGTCTTTGTCGATCGATGTTGAGGCCAAGTGACTGCAAACTGAAAATCATTGCATTATCTTGTCTAAAGGGATTCCTAATTCTAAACAGCCAGCAACAATTTTCACTGGGCGCCTGTCACAATGGCTAATGGCTCAATGTGATTCATGACAAATAGTAATAATTCTTACATTTGATCCAGCACCTTTCACATTCAGGAGTTTGCTGAAGGATAATTACTGTGAACTGACTGTATATTTTGTAGGCTTTTCAAGCACAGCAGAAAGTTGGAGGAAAGCTTAGTCAAGGAGGTAGGGTTATTGTAGTGTTATGAAACTGGGGAGACGGGGCAGGCATGAGGCGGAGGGATTTGGGAAAGGATTTTGTAGAGAGGAAGGACATAGTGGCTGGAAAAAAAGCTTTGCAACATGCTTTCTACATTAACCTGCATTTATAAATTGCCTTTCATGTAAAAGAACACCTCAAAGCTCTTTGCAGTCCTGAGATTCGCTGTTTGTTTTCACAGTGCTGCGGCTGCGTCAGTCCGAATAAATGCAGAAACGCCAACTCCTAGGCCGTGTGTGCGAGGCAGCCCTGAAGTAGCTAAGCCGAGGCTGGTGTGCTCATCGAAGGAAAGCTGGCATGGGTAAGCCATGGCTAACTCCACCTTACGGCCTGAAAATGGCCAGCTGGCACTAAAGTGCACATAGAAGGGAGTTTCAGACATTTGTGTGCTTTTACTTTCGTATAGAAATCCCCGAATGTTGTGTGTGTGTTATTTAATCAGTAGAAAATTACCAGCAGGCTGTTGGAGCATTGCCAGAATTCAGTGGCCTTGTTGGATAGTTGTGTTGACTTGGCTTTAAGTTATATTTTCTGTGGGTTTTTTTTAAAATCAAAAAACTACTTTTAAGTCGATGGATTCTTGTGAAATTACAAGCACCGGTTTTATATTTCTAAGATGATGATTTCTTCTTGTCCGATGTCCCCTTGCACCACCCCCTCCCCAAATAAACAGGTCGACCAGAAAGCCTGCACGAGGTGTCATAAGAACCCAGCGCAGAAGACGCTCCAAGTCGCCTATTCTCCATCCTCCCAAGTTCACGTACTGCAGTTCTGCCTCTTCCGCCCCCAACTGTCAGGTGAAGCACGCCAGCCAGGCTGACAGCTACCAGGGGCTGAGCACACAGTCTCCCAAAGACTGCTGTAAAGCCGGACAGTCTGACCCCGTGTTCGGCGCTAAAGTCCCCAGTGTCTTCCGTCTGGAGTCTCCAGAAGCTTCTGCTGGTGGAAGCGTCACCGAGCCCAGCAGCGAGGCCCTGGGGGAAGCTCCCAAATTGGCCGCAGCCTTGGAGTCACGCCAGGAGTCCGGCCCCACGTCCGACTTTGAGTCGCTTTCCAAGCTCCACGAGACAGACCGGTGCTGCTGCGAGCAGAAGGAGTGTCGCTGCAAGCCCTGGCAGGAGGTCGAGGTGTACTCCTTCACTGGCCTCCGCAGTGTCATCTCGGAGTGCGAGAGGGATATGCACACGTCACCACAGAGGAGAACTCAGGCTGGGGCCTCGGGTTCCCTGCGGTCCTGCTCCGAGGAAGCCCGAACATTTGTGGAAGACATCACAATCGAAGACCTATCGGGATATATGGAATATTACCTGTACATTCCCAAGAAAATGTCACACATGGCGGAGATGATGTACACTTAAGATGTTAACCCTCAACTCAACAAGTGGCTGCTTTTGTGAACTAACGTGACTGACTGGTATGAACTGTATTGGAGAGAAGAGTGGCTTAAAGGAATTATGCAATTTTTGGGGGGATTTGTTTTTTAAACATCCTTTTCTGTTTGTTTAGGCCCTCATTGTAGTTTGCAGTCATGTTAGTCCTGTGGGTAAGGTGTGACGTTGTTAGACTAATGTACTTTGCAGCACAGCGGCGGAATCTGCTTGAGGTTAACTCTTTGCCCAATAAAGTGAACAATCAAGTGACTGGGGAGGGAGAGAGAAAAAAACTATTACTTTTACATAAGGTGTCTGGAGCAGTGACGCTCACTCCTAAGAGAGGAACACCTGCACTCAGAGAGGAACAATGTCTCTCAGTGCTTGTTTGGTGACCTTATATATGGTTATGTTTATCTGGAGGTCAGAAGTATTTTCCTGGCATTCTACACATAAACATGCTGATCAGCCTTCAATCTGAAGTATTAACACTGCATGCCATGTGATATAGACCTAGTCATAGGTGCCTCATTCACTAGTCCAGAGTGTTGCACACAAAGGCTCCACCATCACGCCTTGCAGCCCTCCTCCCTTGCAGTAAGAGTAAGGTTTTTAAGATTGTGGGAGTGATTGACTCCCCATTATATGTGCGCATAGGCCAGGCTGTGTATTCTATTAATATTGTATTTGTTGCTGGATATGTTTCGGGGGTGGGGGGAGCGAGAGAAACAAAATCTGAAAATGTTTAACTTCACTTTCAAACGCAGAACTTCAGTAAGCTCCCCCGGCACACTTAACCCTCCAGTGAAACCCAGACTTGAGCCTTTCCCTACCTAAGGGTGGCCGAATTCTTCCCCCCCCCCCCCACACCACCCATTCCCCATCAAAATGAACACCTTCCTGGCGTTTGTGCATGGGTCAAAGGGGTTATTAGTGTCTCAGTCAGACATTACGCAATGTCAGAGTGAGATTAGTGTCAGGTGGTTGACAGCATGTGACCGCTGCATGTTAATCTAATTTGTGTTCAGGAACACTAATAATTCAGTGTAAACTAATTGCCTGCCGTATGACTCCATGTGTAACACGCCTGACCCACAAGTGAGGCCTTTGAATCCTACGTGTCTCGATTTAAGATCCTGCACTGTTTGAAGTTGCTCCTGGAATCTAGTGCACAGTCTAATCACAATAGCTCTTTTTTTTATTTATTTAAGATCTTATTTAACTATAAGTGTATGACAGCAATAGGAATTGCCAATTTCCATCGTTCAGAAAAAAAAGCCAGTGTGCACTGATGAACAGCTACTACCTTGTGGCGACTTTTATTTTCTTATTCGCTAGGATTGCTGCATCTTAATTTTTCTCTCGAGGAAAGCTTTAGCTAATCGGAATGTCATTTGATTGAATTGCAGCTGCATGGTCCTTTTACCATTGAATTGATCAGTCCACCCAATGGACGGACTGACTAACTGGTTGAGTTTGAATCCAATCCACACCAATGGAATGCAGGTCTCTCCACTTCTCTGCTGGGATGAATTGGGGGGCAGTCATAACAACCAACAGAAAACCAATTACATTTGTATATAGCACCCTTCATGTCCTCTGCCTCACCCACCCCACCATTGGCGGACGGGCCTTCAACCCTCTGCCCCCACCCTCTCTGCCCCCACCCTCTCTGCCCCCACCCTCTCTGCCCCCACCCTCTCTGCCCCCACCCTCTCTGCCCCCACCCTCTCTGCCCCCACCCTCTCTGCCCCCACCCTCTCTGCCCCCACCCTCTCTGCCCCCACCCTCTCTGCCCCCACCCTCTCTGCCCCCACCCTCTCTGCCCCCACCCTCTCTGCCCCCACCCTCCCTTGCCTCCTTCAAGACCTGTCTCAAGACCCTCCTCTTCAGTCACCCTCCTATCCCTCCCCGCCCTCCACCCTTCCTGATCCCAACCACCAGCTCGGGTGCAGATCCCTGACTATCCAGCACCTGGGGATGTTCTCCTGATGTGAAAGGTGCTGTACAAATGTAATTTGTTGTTGTTGTCCCAAAGCACTGAAACAGATCCGAGTGGTTGTGAGCCTGCAGGACAAGACTGGCCATTGTTTGGCTGAATTGCGAGCCTGGCTCAGAGCTGCCACACGGATGGTTGTAGGGAATGAAAACGATGCATTCTGTTGGATGTCAGGGTGTCCTATTGTGGTGGACAGAAGGAGCTTTATTTTGCATCTAACCTGTGCTGCCCTTTACCTTGAAGGGCTTGATGCTGACACACAGCGCCAAAAAGTGGGAAAGTTATCCCATTTCCAGCATTGACATTGCTCGCCTTTAATGTGTGAACATTTTAATGCCTTTTTTTAGACGAGTTAAAAATTGGGGATTTGCAGGGAATTAACTGAATCATGGAAACCTCAGTATATTACGGGGTTCCAATAGCATTGAGTTCTATGAGTGATTAGCGTGCAGCCTTTCTTTGTGTTCATTATAGGCAAACATTTTGAGGAATCTTAATGTGTTTAAGGTTGTTTTTTGTGCTGGTGAGAACTGCTCGTGTTGATGTGCACGAGGGGTTTAGGGCAAGCCATGAGGTTAACATCTGGGTGTTTGACAAGGTGTGTTGTTGAGTAGTTGACTGAAACGCTGCATGTTTTACAGCAACTTCACATTATCACCCAGCCAGTCCTTCGCTCCTTTTATAAAGCTTTATGAGCTTTATGCTTAATAATATCTCGTCTCTCGCATGATATCATGACGCACTCCCCAAGGCTCTTATCAATAGGAATTTTACAGGGTTGTTTACTGCCTCTCATCACTCTGGTAAACAGGACTGGGATAATTTACCTGCCGATGGGCAGAGCAGTCGTGAACCAAAGTCCAGAGATTCCCAGCACCCGACTCACCACAGAGTTAGGGTGACATTCCACGAGAACACAAGAATCTGCTAGGCGAGAAAAAGACCAAGGTCCATCCAGTTCGCCTTCCACCATCCTGGCAGTCACAAGGCATGTCATGTCCCAAACTGTATATTGTATCCTGAGATATTATTTGCTAACAGCAGTCTTATCTAATTTATTTTCTTGAAAGATGTTTTCCATTTTAAAAAAAAATAAAGTAATTTGGTTTGATCTTGTAACTCGCTGACGAAATCGTAAGATTGAATAACGTTGAGAAAGCCACCCCCTTCTCAAAATTTCATCCAAGTCGCCGTGTAAAACTCCTAAGACTCTGTGGCACGTTGCATTTAGGCTCTGAATTTAATTCTTACAAAGTAGGGAAGGGATAAAATAACTGACTCCCAGGACACTCTTGCTCCGACCAGCTTTTCCAGAGATCGAGGGTTGCCTTGTGTAACAGGCTTGCTCGGTTCTAGGAGGGGAACGGATCTTGAGTCACCAAATTTCAGGCCCTCCGCCCTCCTGTCAGAGTAACCTCTTGCAGCTTCCTGACAAAACCTTTGCTGCTTTTCCCCTTTATTCAGCTGTCAAGTCAGCAACTTGAACCCCACTGAGGTCACAAGGTTTGCCTGTCAGGCTGCCTCACCGTGGCTGCCGTGCCTGCCTGTGGTGCTCCACCCTCTGCCTGCAGTCATCATGGCCCTCAGCTGTAACTGGCAACAATGGTGTTTTTTTAGGATTGGAAATCATGGGATAATGCAACTCTATAGCCTATCTTCATCATCATCATCATCGCTGTACTAAATAGAACAACAGATTGTACTTTTGACATTTTTCTTTCTTTATTTGGTATGATGATTCCGGGGTTAATTGTTTCCGTGATTTGATGCGTGTCGGCCTATGGTCTAAAGCCCTCGGAGAATGCACAAAAACACATCTAGCAGCGCCCGCCCGATCACTAAACACGGAATTGCAGCAAGCTACAAACACTATTATTTTACTTCACAATTATCGTTGCCAATTTACTACCGAGTTTGAGGTTTCGCTGCATGAAATGGCTTTTTTGAGGAGAAAATGCAGCGGTCTAAGTAAAATGGGGATTGAAATCGCCTTAAGTTGTTAAATCCTGGGGCAGCCCTGATGATGTAGCAGAGCTGAGGAACTGTATCGTGTACCAGGACCTCACTAGTTTGAATTCCAGTTTGAATTGTTTGCTGGTCTCAGCCAGGCTTGCACAGGAGGCAAAATTAATCCTGATCTTCCCAGGGTTGAAGAAGGGTAAGTCAGCTGAGTTCCTGCTCCTAGTCCCTCCTGAATTCCCCCTCGGCTGGTAATGCGTGTGGCTGGCCGAGTGAGAAGTCTGGCTTGGTTGTGACACATTCAATCGGTGGTTGACTCGCCTGCCAATATTCACACCTGGATAATGGCCACTGGAGGGCAACCAGTGCTTGTGGCATAATCCACTGTGCGATGGAGCTGGCGACCAGGAGCAGAGAGACAGGCAGAGAGACAGGTAGAGGCAAAACCAGGGACAGAGCTAAAAAAAAAATTGGACCTACTCAATTTCACTATAAATTGTTCCAAAAGTGTGTAGGAACCTCCAACATGTGCTTTAATGGACTGATATTTGATGTTTCTTCCCCCATTTGACTGCTGGTCTGGGAGGGGGTAGTGGAGGGAGAGGGAAATTGAATTCTGGTGAATGCTTTTCGTTGTGACAATGGTTTGCTTTGCGATGGCAGTATTTGAGTTTCGTTTTAATTATTCAGTTAAGGGGGAAAAAAATTGCTGAATGGAACCAGAGGGTTTCCCCCATTGAGCCTCAAACTAGGCAAGAGTTTGGCCAACCTTTGCCAAAGCGCAGCAGATTAGCAGCAAGTGAGTTTCAGTGACTGGCAGCAGATCTTTGTTGTTATGTCAATGTCAAAAATATTCAGCACTTGATATTGCAGTTCGAGATAGCATGACATCCTTTCAAAACTGTACAAAATGTGTAATGTTTCCCAAATTATAAAACTTGCTGCTTTATTGTTAACATTTTCTTTTGTGGGTTTTATTTTGTTGTTGATCTTAGTACTTTCTTACCCCCCCCACCACCAACACCGAACACCACTCCACACACATGATTTTTAAGGCACTTCGTCGAGGAAAGTACTATGGCACAATTGGAACGTCACTTTGATGTCATTATCTCAAAGCGCTTCTCAGGAAATTGCTGTGCATTATAGTGACTGCGCATTTGTAAGTAAGTGTGACAGCCTTATTGCACACAGCGTAGGGTCTCTCACCCAAAGAATCCAATGCATAGGGTTGGCGTGTGCACCCAGCTATAGTGAGGCCCGACTCAACACATAGCTTCCTTTCCAAAAGAGCTGATCGAGGGCACATTTAACCAAAATATCCACTCTTGGCAGTCAAGTGGCAAAAAAGTGGAGTAGTGTCGGAGTGTAATAATAATACTTGCATTTGATATAGCGCTTTTCACATCTTCGAGACGTCTCAAAGCGCTTCACAGAATAGACTGTAAAGTGAATTGACTATATTTGTGGGCGAAATGCGGCAGCTAATTGCGTACAGCGTCTCACAAACAGTCGTGGATTGAAGTGATTGAATTTATTATTGGTTTTTTTCTTGAGGGATTATTATCAGGTGAGTGGAGTAAGGAAACTTGCCCAAGGTTTCACCCTACCGGGAATCAAACCCAGGTCTCTCGCTTGTAAAGCGAGTGCTCTAACCACTGTGCTAGTGTGGGTTTAGAGCATTTTTTTAAAGTGGGTACTGGTGAAATTGGTACAATATTTTATTTGGAACATTACAATATCTGCCAAAGTGGATTTCTCTCATGGTGGGTTCCACCAGCAAAAGGTGTCTCTAAATGGTGTCTATACTGCTGACCTATACACTGCTGAACCACATAGACCAAGGGGCTGATGCCTCCAATCCCACCCTGTGCTAGTTTGATCTCTAATGACAGCGATTGAGGTTACGTTGATAGACCTCTGCTCTTGGATTAGGTTCCACCATTGTTGGCTGTGCTTTTAGCCACTAGGCCCTGAAACTGGAATAGTTTTCCTTTATCCCTCTGACTTTCCCCCTCCTTCCCCATCTTCACGTTGTGCTAGAAGACCTTCCTCTACAACAGCGTATATGGTCCCCTTCCCCCTGGCTTGGCGTCGTGCTCTGCTCTCTGGGACGCTGCCTGGCGTGAGGAAGGTTAAACGAATGAAAATGGTTGGTTTGATGGGATATCAAGGATTCCTACTCCTTATTGCCTCCCAGTGACCTCTGGTTTAAATTGCTAAGCCTGGACCATGATGTCTGTCGGGTTAGCAGTCGCTAGCAGCAGTCATCGCTTTCAGGAGGAAAAGAAAAGACTTGCCGATAACTTTGAAAGGCATTGTGATGCATTTCCTTTATTTCACCAATTTAATATCATTTAAAAATAGATTTATACTGAGCTTTTAAAGAGGTGGAAAATAAATCTATTGCACCTCTGACTCATGCTAAGATGCTTGCACTTGATACAGTGCCTTATCGCATCGTTGAAAGGTCTCAAAGCGTCTCGCAGGATTTACTGTGCGGTGGCTTATTTTCTAGGCAAACGCCTACACAGTTTCGATGTTGGTGAAATCTGATTAGCAAAAAGCCCTGTGTGAAATGACTTTATTAAAAAATAAATCAGTCTGGCAGAATGCTGCTTTAAGCACATCCTTCATTGTTCATTCATTTAAG